TAAATCTTCAAGATAGACGTTGTTGTTATTTATTTCACTAGTTCCATCCATGATTATAGCTTATTTATTTAGCTAGTTCCATCCATGATTATAGAGACGTGATGTGAGTGTGAGTGTGAGGGGACAGTGACTCAAATTAATTATATAATTTTAATATGGAAAAATCAATTATTGTGCTAGAAAACATTACGCCGCCCAACAAATACAATTAATATACCGCCATGGTCCATATCCCACATCAAAGATCCCAACACGAAACCTAGTAGCTACCATCTTCCATCGTAATTAACATTCTATTGTTTATAATTACTTTCACTTTTGTATATACACGCTATATCAATAAACAGTTATTATGCAAATGATAGTAACATGTAAACCTAAATAGTAAATTAAGAAGAAGCCGAGTAAGATGCAACTTCTGATTATTTTATGGAGCAATCTCATTGATTGGGTGGAAAATAATGTTGAAATCTTCCTTTTTATCCCTCTCTCTCTTCGTTTTATAGTTGAACCTTTCATTTTCAGTTAACACAAGTAAACGTTGTAGAGGAAAACTTTTTTTTTTCTTTAACAAAGTTGTAGACGAAAACCATACTGTTGCTATTTGTTTACTTGTATTAAGTACTTCTTTCTATCCCACAAAATATATAGGGATATGTTTAGGGATTAGGATGATTCTTACCCAACCCGACTTGATCGGCTTTGATTTTTTTTTAAAAAAATTGGGTTCGGGTCTGGTTCGGGTTTAGGATGAAAAATATCTGACCCAAAAAAATTGTAATTTTACCTTATATATTTAGGAATAATTGCAATAATATTCATTTATATATTATTTTTTCAATTAAATACCTATTTTTATTGAATAAAAATAATATTTTTAATATATATATTATTTCCGATCGGGTCGGGTCAAATTATGATTTTATCTCAAAAAATCTGGTCGGGTGGAAGGTGTATCTTTTATTTTTACACTAATTCATATCCATTAGATTTAAATAAATATATGGATTATACTCGATTAAATTTTATAACCCATAAAAAATATTTCTTTAACTCATAGTAAAAATATATAAAATAATATATTTTTTACCCTAAACCATAACCTATAAATTATAAATCCTAAACTCTAAACCCTAACTCTAAAAAGAAAAGAAATTGTTTCACTGTGAGTTAAAGAAATATTTATTTATGGATTATAAATTTTAATTAAATTTAAGTCATTTATTTATTTAAATCTAATGGTTGTAAACTAGTGTAAAACATATTAGTTTTACATAGTGTAAGTGGATTCTAACCCATATATATATATATATATATATATATATATATATATATATATATATATATCACATCTATAATAATGAGCATATATGTATGTGAAACGTGTCTTTGAATGGTTGGTGAATGTGCTTTTAATGTATTATGTATGCATGTATGTTATGTCATGAATAAAGAGTAGTTGAAATTAATTATTAATACAGGTCAAATATACACATATTCGACGGGGCTAAGGCAACACCTGTATGTGAGCGACCTGGAGATATTGAAGGAACTGAACCAGTTGAATACATTGCAGTTGGGCAAGGATGCTTATATGACCAAGGTACTCAAGCCCATGCTTGGCAATGGCATTATAAGATCCAATGGCCAGCTTTGGGCACATCAAAGGAAGATCATTGCGTCAGAGTTCTTCATGGACAAGGTTAAGGTAATATAATACCAAACATAAATACTTCATTACTCTACAATACTTTGGTTCCCATATAATAATCCAACAGAACTACTCTAAAAACTGAATGATAAATCTCTTAGGGCATGGTGGAGCTCATGGTGGAATCAACCGCGCCTCTGCTTAAGAAATGGGAAGCCACCATAGATGCAAGAGGCGGTCGGGCAACCGAGATAAATGTGGATGATGATTTTAGGAGCTTTTCAGCCGACGTTATTGCAAGGGCATGTTTTGGGAGCTCATATGTTAAAGGAAAACAGATTTTTTCCAAGCTTAGGAGCATACGAACCACCATTACCGAGCAAGGGTTTCTTTTTGGCCACAGTAGTTCGAGGTACAATATTTCCACACCCACTGTTTTAGTTTGCATGCAGTAAAAACACAATGTATTCATCACAATTGCAGGTTTCTTCCCAACAATAACAAGGTTAGCACTCTAGAAAGAGAGGTCGAATTGTTGATTTGGGAGACTGTGAAACAACGCCAACAAGAATGCTTTGGCAAATCTTTGGGTCAAAAAGATTTAATGCAGCATATATTAGAAAGTGCTGTGACCGATGCCAGTGTGGCGCCGCAGAAGTTTATAGTTGATAATTGCAAGAATATATACTTCGCCGGTCATGAATCCACTGCCATTACTGCCTCCTGGTGCTTGATGCTACTCGCTCTGCATCCAGAATGGCAATCCCGAATTCGAGAAGAGGTGGCTCAAGTTTTCACTAATGGCCTGCCTGATGCAGACTCCATATCTCGATTGAAAATGGTAAACATACTGATACTTACCCAATGTAAGAAAAAGAATAGTTTTAAAAAGATTTAGGATCGTCATATCTATAAAAATAGATAACTGAGATTAACTCCTTGTATTTTTTTCCCCAGTAAATTTCTTCTTTTGTCTTCCTAATAATCTCAATCATCATTTTCACTCATCTAACGGTCCTAAATATGTATAAAACTTTTTTAGTTTTACATTATTTAATTGCATCATATCTTACATATGTATACACATGCTTCTTATAAGTTGTAAAAGTGTGGGTTCCTACCATCATATGAAGGTGACTATGGTGATTCAAGAAACCATGCGGCTTTACCCAGCGGGGGCATTTGTGACTAGGGAGGCACTGGAGGAGACTCGAATGGGGAATATTTTGGTTCCAAAAGGGGTGTGCATTTGGACTGTGATTCCAACTTTGCATCGGGATCCTGACATATGGGGACCAGATGCTAATGAGTTCAAGCCTGAAAGATTCATCAATGGTGTCTCCAAAGCTTGCAAATCCCCACAAGGCTACATCCCATTTGGTTTAGGCACTCGGTTGTGCTTGGGTAAGAACTTTGCAATGGTTCAATTGAAGGTTCTTCTAGCTCTTATCGTCTCCAAATTTACCTTCTCTCTATCTCCGAGTTATCGCCATTCTCCTGTATTTCGGATGCTTGTTGAACCCGAACATGGTGTATATATCCGAATACAGAAGATATGATAACGCGACACTCCGCTGGCTTTAAGCCTGATTATCATTACTAATGTATTAAATGAAGCTTTTATATATGTAATTTATTTTAGTTTTTATGTTTTCCATGAAAGGAATGGAAGCTTATATGTTGTTTTATAACCTGTAATGCCTTGCTCAAATCTCTGGTTGTCTTCTTAATAGATTGAGAATCGAGAATCAAATGTTCTGGGGAAAATCTGTAAAATAAAGGTTAGATAGGCACAAGCTGTAATAAAAAATATATCAACAATGTACACAGAAAGAACGCTACTCGAAATGCAGCATTTCTGTTTGTGTAGTATAACATGTAGACGAATCACTTCAACTACAGTAAACATCATACAACCTTCAGTTGGTTCAAACTGAATAATCTTTGTACCATGTCCAAAATAATTGTAACAATAACTTTTTCATTATTGGACATAACCAAGTTACCTGAGAAGTGCATGCAAATAGAAACTGCAAATCAGTTGCCTGGTTCAGCTAAAATGAATCAATGGATCATGTTCAGAAAAAATTGATAATGTAGCCAAGTATGCATTTGAAGGAAAAATCATGGTTGGCGTTCCTTGCTAAATTTTTTCACAAAATCAACGGGTAACCTGCACAAAAGCAAGGCCATAAAATACAAAATCTGGACGGTTTTGTAAGAAACAGGACAAGAAATCGATAAACGAGATGGAAAAATTAGAATAACGTAAGTCTCATAAAGGATTCGCAGGTATATAACTGTGAAAAACCAGGGAGGATAAAGATAAACTTGTTTGTGAAGCACACTCATAGAACTACATCTCGGAAAGGGCCATCAACCAGATTGACTTGTCAAAATACAAAAGCTGCCAGCAGTGTATGCAATACAGCCCAATAGATTATAATGCCAAGACAAAAGGCAGGTTGTCGCATGAGCGCCCGATCACAAGAAACCCTGGCACATTACATAAACGCAGTTACTTGCTGAAAAAGGTTGCTTTTGGAGTGTAAATAAATAAATCTCAAGCCCAAATGAACGTTGAACTACTTTAGATGAAAACAAACTGAAAAGCAGAAATGACTCCTACCATAAGCCGTCTACCATATCGGTTATCGGCCTTGTAAACCTTGGAACAACCCTTGATGTGGTGAGTGATTTGAAACCGAGAACTGAGGAAACAAAAATTAAAATGCAAGGATTAAAAGTCATCCTCACTTGAAGCATAAATAAGTATAAACATACAAAAAATTGCAAATAGTAAAGGATACCTTTATCTTCGTCTTCATCTTCTAACCTACTATTTTTTCCATCATCCGTATCTATAGGAATAGCAACTTGATCAGCATTGACTTTGCGCAAACTACGAACTTGGGATGTTGTAGAGGTCCCCGCTATTGCCCACTTGTTTATCTACACAGATAGTCAGCAAAATACATTACTCAATATCTATAAATTGATTATGCAGAAGCATAACTTATTAATGTGAGGTAAGATTGAAGTATATATCAACTTTTAAAATCATTATTATTTGTTTAAGTAACAGCAAAATTATCAAATGCTGATAGAGTTGCCATATGAATTTTGATTCTATAGATTGAACTCATTCCATCTCTCATGAAACCAGATAAGATGTCTAGCTCCCAAAGTAAAATGTGAAAATTTGATAAGAAAACAGTTATGGGAAATTGTAAGAAAGAAATTAGGTTTCGTCACTCACATCCCAATTTTGTCCGTCACTAGTTTTCTAAAGGTCCCAAGTCCTAACAGCGTGCTGCTCTAGAAAATTGCAAACACACCAAATAACTTCCACATGTTCAACCTCCACGATTTCAGACTTCAAACTGGCTGCCTGACCCACAGCTCCCAAACCTTCAAGCAAATTTAACTGGGATTCCTTCTCATGCAAAGTCTTCCTTAGGGTTTCTTCTCTGTGCGTCGACTCCTCCACTTTACTCCTTTCTGCTTGCAACAATTCATCCCTATTTTTAGCAACCCCCCGAGGTCTTCTAGTTCAATAGACCTAATCCCTGTATGTATTATTTCCTTGTAATCAGGCACCTGACTATTCTTCGTATCAAAATGAAGATCAGGAAAACCGACACGGGGAACAATTGATTCAAACCAAATCAAAAACTCATTTATCTCATCTGAGCTTTCTTTATTGCTTATTTGTGATGCAGCAAGAACATCATTGGTGCATCTCGTGACCTCTTGTCTTAAGAAGGAAACCTCAGCATCCAGATCCTGTAGTTGTGATTGCAGCTGTTCAACCTGGGTAATAAGACTTTCTGATAGAGCACGAAGCTCATCAAACTTGCTCACTGTAACGGAAAGCTTTTTCACAGCCTTTCCCCGAGAAGCTTCAAGGTTCTCTAAATCTGTGTTCTTCTGCTGTAGTACTTTTTCCAGTTCCTCGATCTTTTTTGTCAACTCTTCCATTTGGAACTCCTCCTCATCAAGTGCTTGCATAAGGACTTCAATTTCTGTCAGGGAATAGCATTTACAAATGAAGATTCCAAAACCAAATGAATATATAAGGAAAATAAAAAGTAGGATTCAAACAAATAAAACATGCCTTGGTCTTTCGATGATAATACATCTGTCAGTGATTTGACTCTATCCTGCAATTCCACTGTATTGGCTTGCACATCTTGCAGTTCTTTTACTCTCTGCTGCAGTGAAGTCTGTTCTTCCCTCATTACTTCCAGTTCTTTCTCCAAATCATACACCAGGGTTTTTGAAGATTGAAGATCTCGTGTGTGTAATTCGTGGCAGACGCTTCAGCTAACTTGATTTGATCAACAAGCTCCATGCATATCCGATCTTTCTGGATATCCTTCTCCTGAAGCTCTTTCTGCAAATTTGCTATGGTTATTTTCATTTCCCTTTGGCTTCCTTCAATAATTTCAGCTTTCACACTCGAAAAAAATTTCACTGCTGAAAAAAGTTTTTCTGCCATGGTCTTGATATTTTCCTCAGTGGCAACACTACTTTGTCCACTAAAAGAAAGTACTCCATCACCTGATATTATAGGCTTCATGTTAGTCACCAGATCTGCAGCAGCCAAATTATTTCCTAACAACTCAGCTTTTTGATTTTCAATCTCCAAGACTGAATTAGTACATGCTTCATAAAGCAAGGCAATTTTTCTTCTCAACACAACAATCTCCATGTCTTTCTCTTTCCCAGCTGATTCTATATGTATAATGTTTTCTTCATAGCTTCAAATGACTCTTTCATAGAATTTGTTCTCTATATAAGACCCCGAATACATTCCATCTTGTAATGATTTTGACTGCACAATCAACTTTTCTTTTAGTGCAGTAATTTCAGTTCTCAAATCTTGCAGGCAATGCCAGATTAAACTGCAAACTTCAACTATTGCATCGCCGTCCAAAGGGTCCTGCATATTGGCAATCGGCCAAGTATCTGCAAATTGAATGTTGAAAAAGTTTACATTAAATCATACACTAACCAATCCTGTTGCCTTAAAAACAGACAAAGAAGTGCATCTCGTAAGCTAGAAAAAAATGGTTATATCATATAAATTAAGGAAACTAAATCAAAACTTAAAAATCCTATTGAATGTTCAAAATACCAAAGAAAGAATCGATTTTCTTCAGCTCTTCTATTTTTATTAAAAAAACACTAAACATGGGTCGAAGAAACACTAAAAATCAGCTGTGAGAGTGGAAACAATTCAAAAGCAGTAGTACCATGATGGTGAAGAGAATTCCTGTCTCGAACAAAAATGGCATTGTTGAAGAGAAAGAGCACAACCAGAAAGCCAGTGTACTTGGGGAAAAGAGACAAAAGCACAAAATCAAAGATGAAAAAGTAAATATAATGGAAACCTTTTGACGTCCGGCGGCAAGCAGATCTGTACGATTCTTGTTTTTGTCTGTCCAATCCTCTCTGTTTTTGCTTCCCACTCTTAAGGCTCTGGAAATCAAAGCCAAGTCTCAATCACCATTTGGATCTCCCTCTTCCCCCTCTTACCTATGCCCACAATAAACAATCATGAATGAACAGAGTGAAAACAATCACTATCAATTTATATAAACATTGAAGCCACCAATAGCAGCAGTGTTCGACCATGTCAGTTGAAGATTTTTTACAATACATATGTGTGTGTGTGTAATTTTAAAGGGAAAATTTTGCAAGATGAATAACTGAATTTGTTTTTCTTTTTCTAATATTTTTCAAGTAACCGAAAATAAAACAGAATCGTCAATCCCAGTATTCAACAAAGAAACAACTAAAGATTCCAATTCCGAACCAAAAAAATCACCAAAAAGGGAAATTTGATTGAAGAAAAAAATGTTGAAAGATTGAAATAAAAATATTTGGAATTACCGCACTTTGCAAAATGAATAACTTAAATTGCATTTCTTTCTCTAACAATTTCAAGTAACCGAAAATTAAAAAAAAAAAATCACAATCTCAATATTTAAAAAAGAAGCAACTAAGATTCCAACCAGGAACCAGGGAATCACAAAACAAAAGGGAATTTTTGATTGTCGCCAAAAAATTTGTAGGAAGACAACAGCAATACCTGGAATTGCCGCGATCTGGTCGATAACGTGGCGCCGTAAATGAGGCTTTTTGGTGCCGAATTTGGTTCAAATTTCGTAAGTTAGGCGAGCTTACGCGTGCGCATGTAATTTGAGTTCGTTTTTTTAAAACTTGGATCTAAAGCAAACTTCTCAATCCTGTGTAGCTGAAATGTCCAACTCCGCAAACATTCGCTGCTTCGCTAACTTGCCTGTGACGTTTATGTCTGGGTTTGGTTAAAGTGAAAATAAACCCAGATCGATGTTAATGCCCCAGTAAAGTTAATACTGGCTTTTGGGCTAATTATTCTGACCAGGTCAACCTCTTAAAGAGCTTTGATCCCTCAATGTGTAGACTTATGACCCATAAAAGGATTGCAAAATGGGGTTATGCTGATCTAGCATTAGATGAAAAGCCCCATTTTATTTGACTAAAAACAAGTATCAAGTGATTTCACTGATCAAGAGATTCGTTCTTATCTCTTATGATTTCGAGTTTGAGTACCACAAATGTCAAAAGTATGAGCGTTTATATAAAAATATTTGAATAGATATTGACTTCTATTTACCCAGATTTGTATAAAAAAAAGTCATAAAAAGTAAATTGATTCAAATTAGTACATGAACTTAACTTTCTTTTTTTGAATTGATTAAAAACTAAAAATGTTAATTTGACCCCAAAAATTTAAGTACGTATGTTAAATTTAACTAAGAGTAAGTTCAGGGAACCTAAATAAATTTAAAAGTTTTGATACTAAATTAAATCTTAAAATTGAGTTCAAGTTCATAACTGGAAAAATAAAATTTAGATTTACAAATTACATTTTTTCCAAAAAAAATATTAAATAAAATACTGAGAATTATTATCCGGAATAAATTTTTTTTATCTTGTATATAACTCAATGTGTACAAATTAAAAATTTATACGAGTTATTATCAGTAATTTTATTATTACATTAAAATTAAGGGTAAATTATAGTAATGGTCACTGAACATTTCTGAAGCTTGCATTTAGGTCTCCCAACTTTTAAAACTTGCAATACAGTCCCCCAACATTTATTCCGTTTGCAATATAGTCCCCAACTTAAATCACTGTTAGAAAATTAGGGTAAATTATATAAACGGTCATTGAACTTTTCAGGCACTTGAATTTAGGTCCCCAACTTTTAAAACTTGCAAAACAGTCCCCCAATAATTTTATTTTCTTATTAAATATAGATGTATAGAAAATATAAATGATTCAATTTATATTTAAATGTATGAATCATTTATAATTTTGATATATTTTATTTTTCTTGTATAAACTAGTATTTAAAATATGTTTATATTTTAATTAAAATATTTCAATATACGAATAAAAATATATTTATATAAATGTATATTTATATTTAGATGTATAAATAAAAAATATATTCATATATTAATGTATGAATCATTTATATTTTTTGAATATTTTATTTTTAATAAGAAATTAAAATTATTAATTATATTAGAAATACTCAACTTAAGATTATATATATAATCATGAATTATAAATATGAAAAATTTAATTATTAAATTTAATTTAAAAATATATAAATCTTAAATTTATTCTTTTAAAATATTGTATCAACTAATATTTAAAAAATATATTAAATCTATCAAACAATTTATCAAATATAATACTTTTATTGTAAAAAAATATAATATTTTCCCATCATTTATTGCTTTCAAATTTTTTGCCGAAGTTCAAATCTCATTATTTCCATTTTCCATTATATTCTTTTTTTCTGGCATTGGTCATACTATTAGTATATGTATTATTGTATATCTCTTAACACAAACGACGGTGTTATCTTAGTGGCTCCACCCTGTATCTTTCATTTGCGTGACTCAGGTTTGAGTTTGCCCAAGACCCAAAATTTACTTCTTTGTAACTTAATTTTCTTCTAATTAGGTGGTGGCATGTGTCACCAATAACATATATCATGATCATGTGTTAACACATGTCAGATCCTGGTTAAATGATTAATTTATTAAATTTTATTTAATTTAGGACCAAATTGATAGCATATATAAATAATTAGGTGGTGACCGGTGTCACCAATGACACGTGTCATGATCATGTGCTAACACATGTCAGATCCTAATTAAATGATTAATTTATTAAATTCTATTTAATTTAGGACCAAATTGATTATATAAATAATAAAGACTGAATGTATAATAATGTCAATTCCTTTTAACTGCTACTTCATCATTTGTATCAATTGGTAACGAATAGTGGCTTAGTTGAAACAGTTAAATAATTATGTTGTATGATTGATAAATTTAAAAGATCGATGACAAAAGTAAAAAGGGCTAGATAGTTAAGTTGTCAACCTAGTAGTTTACACTTTTATTTATACGTCAAAATAACATTTTATAAATTTAAAATTCGAATTATTTTCAACCTCTTCTATATCCTAACTACTTTTTTTAATTAAAAAATTTCTTCAACAGATAAGAATTATACTATTATATTTATATAAAAAATATGTATCACATGAAATAAGATGAAATTAAATAATAATAAATCTGACATAATTCAATTTAATTGAATTATTTTGGAATTTAGGGTTTAGAATGAAATTGAATTACTTTGGAAATTGGGGTTTAGAATGAAATTGAGGACTGTTTTGCAAGTTTTAAAAGTTGGGGGGCCTAAATTCAAGTGTCTGAAAAGTTCAATAACCTTTTATATAATTTACCCTAATTTCTAACGATGGTTTAAGTTGGGGGACCATATTGTAAACGAAATAAATGTTAGGAGACTATATTGCAAGTTTTAAAAGTTGGGGGACCTAAATGCAAGCTTCAGAAATGTTCAGTGACCATTACTATACTTTACCCTACAATTAAATAAAACTTGAATAGAATATTGAATTAAATTTATATTATAATTTAAATTATTAATATTTTAACAATAATATTTTTATTTTAAATTAGTAATTTTAAACTTGTCATTATAATATTTTATAAAAGACTAGATGTATCATATTTGAAGTATCAAACAAATTGATTGTACCTAACAATTCATATATATGCTCTATTTTTGTGTGTTTAGTAGACTAGTATTTTCGGCAATTGCAATGACTTCTTCATCTTTATATGTTCAAAAAATTAAGATTTTTTAGTATATAAAACTAATAATTATTAAGTAAAAAATCATTATTCTCACTTTTTCTTCAAGTTGCGTAGTAAGTAAAAGTGCTCACTAGGTTTTTAGGCTTAGCTCATAATATTATTTGTTCTGCCAAGGAGGAAAAAAAAAGAATTGAGTTGATTATCATTACCAATCAACATGAAAATTTTGTGGATTATTATTTGATTGAAGAATAGTAGACATCGATAACTCTGCTGTCAAATACTTCAAATTTCTAAGCAGATATGCCTACCAGAACTAGATTAACAAAACTTGAACTGTTATAAGGCGAAATTTTGGAAGAGACATTGCCAGATGACCATTTTGGAAGACAAATCAACAATAGTAGCGGAATAGAGAAATATGTGCATAATAATATCATCCTAATCAACCAGCAGAAGGCTTCAACAAATTGGAAACAAGTAGCTACGAGTATGCTTCCAGGTTGCACGATACACGGTTATTTTTCTAATGCTTTTATTTTATGGCTCTTTTCAAGCAAGACAACGAGATAAACAAGCACATGCAGAAAGCAAAAGAAGGAACTGAAAAGGCAGAATCCATGCAATTAAGGATGATTTAATATGGAGCAATACTACTATTATAAAGAATCCCCCAAAAGAAATCATGTTTTAACATTGCCAAAAAGCAATATCTTCTTATTTAATCAATGTTCATTAACCCTTTTACTGTAGAAATATGCAACCCCAAATACAACAATGTTGACTCCTGAAACCGGTACTATCCCTAGATACATATAACAAAACTAAAATGAAGACAGACATCTTTTAAATTGCGAGAGAAATACCTGCACTTTTAGACCAGTAATAAATTTTGCATTTCAAAGGTGATTAAGACAGGCAGCAGCTGACCAGCCAAAACAAGAATGACTTCTGGTATCTGATGAAACAAATGGTGTCAAAATCCCGCACACCATCAACTGCCTCCCTTTTGTTTTAGAGTGATCTTATCTCCAAGACTCAGAGCAATACCCTGAGTCTTGCTCCTTATCCTGATGTACCCACCAAGCTTCCCATCTGTTTGTTTCTCAACACTCAAGTTTACCAAGGCATCCTCCCCAAACACACTTTTTGCATACAGATTAGCGGCCAAGAATCCACATTCATCGTCTAGCGCAGATCTGAAACACAATCCAACCACAAAAAACGAATGGCATAAAAGAAAGGACAAACGAATGACATAAAAGAGAGGCTAAACAGTGTGCCATGAAATAAATGCATTCTAAGGATCAATATAATATTAAGTTGATGTTTTACAAATTAAGCATGAAAGATTCATCAAGTTTTCAGAACAAGTGACACGTAAATCATATACCACACTGTTGCATTAAAAATGTAAAATCGACATGGTATGCAGAAACGTAAAACTTACACTGGTGTGAGACATTTCATATTGGTTGACTTGATAATATGTTCAAGGAATTCCCTCTCATCTTGGATTACTGTATTAACAGCAACCTGAATCACAAAAGTCAATAATGAAAATTAATATTGTTACATCAATGGGGATAGGAACTGTTAGCTTAGTCATGGGAGAAGCTTAAGATATAGATTGATCTCAATTAGGAGCAAGAGGGGAATAAGTGGTAATCAAACATTATGCAAGGGACGTGAGCTACATATAAGATCAAGCTAATATAAATTGCATTCCAATTAGCATGTTGAACACATTATATTAATTTATAGCACAATATCAATGTTGGACAGATATCTATAGGAATTAGGGGCGCCGCTGAGAATGCAAGCTTGTAATAATGGAAATAGTTCAACATATACCTTGTTTTCCCACTCAAATTCTGCCCACATAGTTCTGAATGCAGCATCAGTACATACAGCAGGAGAGATATAGTCCATGATATCAATATGGATGTCATTAAGAACAACGACAGTTCTTTCGTGCACATTTGATGTCTCATAAACAATGTTGCCAAATATGACACCAGT